TGCGGGATCCGAACCCTCGGCGGGAGCACCGCCGTGCTCCCAAGCGGCGCACTGTAGCAGTGCGCCACTGGGCCGGCCCGACCGGTAAGGGGATATTTTTTTTTTTTGTCTTTTTTAATGTCCGGAAACGGATTGCAACCCTCAGGGTCGCGCCCGTACCGGACCGGGACCCGCAACGGGATCGCAACCCTCGGTGTTGCTCCCACACCTCGCTCAGCCAGTGAGCGGGAACCGGTCTGCATGCGGGATCCGAACCCTCGGCGGGAGCACCGCCGTGCTCCCAAGCGGCGCACTGTAGCAGTGCGCCACTGGGCCGGCCCGACCGGTAAGGGGATATTAACCCTTGACTTGGTGTTGTCAGCACCATGCTCTTCCAAGTGAGCTAACCGGCCATCCCTATATAGGGATCTGAACCCGTGGCCCTGGTGTTATCAGCACCACACTCTCCCGAGTGAGCCACGGGCCAGCCCCTCCACTCTCAAGCTTTAAATGTCATCTCTGTGACGTTTCAGCCTAGATCTCTGCCTTCATCTCCACATTCCAGTCTCCTGTGGTCTGCTCACACTTCCACTTGTATATCTCTCTCATGGGCATCCCAAACCTAGTGTGTCCCACAACAAACGCTGATCACCACCCCCAAACAAGCTCCACCCCAGTGGAATATAATCATTCTTTCAAGGAGTTTAGCTCTAAAACGGAGCAGAGACATGGCACCTCTTTCCTTCAGATTTCTCAGGCTTAACACCTTAGAGTCCTCTTCGATTCCTTTCTGGTTCTTACATCCCATCTACGATAAGCAAATCTGGACTCTTAACAATCTCCAACTCCTGCTGCTTCTACCGTGGTGCAGGTCACCATCTCCACGGGATGATCTTAGCCGTTGAGTGGTCTCTTTGCTTCTTCTCTTGTCTCCCTAAGGCATATTGATCAGTACAGCAACCAGAGGGATCTTTTAAAATGTAAATTGTCCCCATACTGGTCAGTTGACAAAAAAAAAATGTAAATCAAATAATTTGCTCAAAACTTTCCAGTGGCTTCTCATCCTACCCAGAGTCAAAACTTCTATCCTACTTCTATCCTAGCCTGTACCTACAAGGCTAGGTACGATCTTCCCACATCTGCTCTTGGACTTCATCCCCACCACTCTATCTCAGCCTCGCCACACCAGCTGTGGTGGACTGTCTGTTCTGTGACCGTGCTGGCTTGGCTCTTGCGTCAGGGCCTTTGCGCTGGCTGTTCTCTTGCCTGAGATGTTTTTTACAAAGTTGTCCACTTGGCTCATTCCCTCACGTCCTTCAGATTTTTACTCAGTCACTTCAGAGAGGGCTTCCCTAATTACCCTATTTAAAATTCCAAACCCCACCCCACTTCTGTTACTGGTTTTCTCCTTCCCTGCTTCACCTGTCTTCATGTCACTCATTGCTGTCTGGTGTACTGTGTAGTTTATTTATTCACTTAGTACGTCCGTCTTCCTCTTCTAGACTCCCTCCCCTAGCTGTTTTTGTCTTTGCTCACTTCTGTATCCCCTGTGTTTAACACAGTGCCTGTCACACTAGAATTTATTAAGAAGCAGCTTAATAAATATTTGCTGAACAAAGGAGTGATCCAACCTTGTATATATAGAGCTAATTCGGGGAGTCATGGTTGAGGCAGATTGGGATATTGGGACGGTCTGCAGAGACTGTCAGGAGGCTTTTGCCATTGTCCTAGCACCCAGCTGGGGTAGGGCTGGGGAGGATTGAGAGAGTTTGAGTTGAGAGAGTGGAATCAGTCAGACTTGGAAATTGGTTTGATATGGCAGGTGGGGAAGTAGTTGTGGTGACTGAGTAAGCACGTGGACATTAGAGAAGGTGCTTCTGTCATCAGAAAAACTGAAGAGAATTAAAAAATTATTAAAAAAAAAAAAAAAAAGAAAAGCTGAGTAGAAGGCTGGCCTGTTAGTTCAGTTGGTTAGAACACAGTGTTGCTAACACCAAGGTCAAGGGTTTCGATCCCCATACCATTTCCCCCTACCCCAATAAAAAAAACCTGAAGAGAGAGGAGGCACAGCATGTCTGGAATGGTTCTGATTATTGATTGCTGCACAACAAACCACCCTAAAATTAATGGCTTAGACAAGCATGTATACTATAATCTCTCACACAATTCTTTGGGTTTACTCCCATCAGCTGGGCAGTTCTGCTCTGTGTGAATTATAGATATCACTGTGGCTGCATTCATTTAGGGACTCATTTGGGTTGGAACATGCCAGATGGTTCCCTCGTGTATTTGGCACTTTAGTGGGTTGGCTGGAAGGGTGAGGTCAGCTGGGACAGCTGGGTCTCACTGTCCATGTAGTATCAGGGCCTCTGCCTCTGTGCCTGGCCTCTCCAGCAGGGTAGTTGAACTTCTTAACTGGTATCTTAGGGTTCCCCAGAGTGAAAACTGTCTAGCCATCTTAAGACTTAAGCCTGTAACTGGTACAGTGTCATCCTATGTCACATTTATTGGTTAAAGCAGGAACAAGGCCAACTGGAAGGAGCTCCCAATATTCAAAGCTGGAGTAATTTGAACATCAAAATAAATAGTGATAATATTGTATTATAACCCATAGGATATGATATGAATCTATACTGATATAAATAATTAAATATGAACAAATAGGGAAATGGAACAGCTCTTGCTTACAGAAGAATTCTAATTAATAAATTTAGAATGAAAGAGGGAAATAGAACATCATCATTTGGTAAATACCACAGTAGCAACTGTTGTAGATAGGTTCCACAGATGTGTGCTGAAATTAGTGGGTGGAAGTTTGAAGAGAAACAATATATTTGTATAATCACAAAGTATCTCTTCCAAGTTATTTATTAATTCTAAAGGGAAATACAGTGACTTTACAGTGGAGAAATCCAGCAGACATAACCTTAATGAAGTCTCCAAGATCAAGGTTAACATCACCAGTGAGACATATCAATATCATGAACTTATTGATATGGTACACTGAAGGACAGAGCATCACAACGTCTGTGGTATTCTAGACAAAAATGAAATGACCTCATTCTAATCATGAAAACACATCAGAAAAACCAGAATTCAAGGATATTCTTCAAAAGCTTGAAGTTCATGAAGACAAGAAAGACAGGATCTGTCAGAGATTGGAGGACAT